GAATGCGATGGGGCAAGGCAAGAAGGATCTGCTTCAGTTTAACCATGCTCTTCCTCATAGCTTCTAAGTGGAGATGCCCAAAGCTTCTCCCCTTGCAGATGGAGTCTTCAGAGCATGCATGAACATGCATATCACTGTCTTGTAAGAAAACCCAGTATTTAGGATGAAATAGAAGAGGGTATTTCAGTTGGAAGGGCCCTACAGTCATCACCTAATGACATGTGGGCAACCACAAGCAGCACGGTCCATTTCAGACCATTCTCTTAAGTACTGACGGGATGTTGTTACTCTTTGTCTACACATGGTTGCTGCTTCAGTTGTAGTTAGTGACATACCCCATAGATTTGCTTTTTTAAGCATTTAAATCACCATAGTTACTGGCTCTTTTTCACAAGCAACCCACACAGTCAGTCTGAGACTGTCTGGTAGCCTAAACCATAGCATTACGTTAAGCAATGGGACATTTTAGCTCCTACTGCCTCTTAGTAGCACCTTGGTTCTTACTCTAAACTGGATTTCACATTCAAGCAAGTTCCCTACAAGTTTGAGGTCAAGAAACCAATTTTTTTCTAAGGAATGAAAGCTGAACTTCCATATTTAAAGAACTTCACTTTGAGACGTTCAAGAAATCAGTACCTCTCACTAGACTCACAGCAGCAGCAGAGATTAACACTGCAGGAAGGATCTGCTGACTCCTCCTAGGGCTTTTTCCTTTCAACAGAGTCAACTAAAACACTACTCTTAAACTTGGCCGAGGCAAAATCAGGGCCTGAGTCATGAAACATCTGACATCGCTGGTTGTGCTTTGGGCACCAGCTCTTTTTAAAGGCACATGTTTCCAATAAACCTAAAGCAAGTGTGAAGAAGATTACAACTGCTGCTGGACACCCGTTTGTAATTCCTGCACCGAGATCCCTGTGGAACTGCAATGTCAGGGATGGACTGGGATTAAAACACTGCTGGGAGTCATCTGCTCCCTGTGCACATCTTGGAGTAAACTACTAAAGTGATGAAGCTCATCTCTATGTCCAACCTCCCCTTGACATTGAATAGCATGCTCCATCCCTGGCAGCGCTCAAGGCCAGGTTGGACACAGGGCCTTGGAGCAAGCTGCTCTAATGGAAGGGGTCCCTGCCTGTGGGAGGGGTTGGAGCTGGATGCACTTTAAGGTCCTTTCCAGTACAAACCATTCTATGAGCACCCCAGCATAAGCTCCAGTTTAGCTTGGTGCCATGTGGCCCAGAATCACAACCTATGGTTCTCCATCTCTACTGATCTACGCTGCCAAGCTAGGGTGGTGGGTGAAGAGCTCATTTACCTCCCAGCAACTCTTCTCTTGCTGTTGTGCAGTTGCCATGTGCTTTTGCTCTCCAGTCCCCAGTGTCAAGTTGGAAAATAAGGAGGTGTCAAAAACCTACAGGAGAGCAGCTTAGAAACTGCTCGTGTTCCCCATTCCCCACACTTAATTTAGACATCTCTGCCTTCTTGTGCAAGTCAGAGCAACGGAAGGGGTCGCGCCAATGCCTCCCCCAGCAGCCTCTCTTCATCCATCTTCTCAATTGCAGTGGCCATTTCATAATTAATGGGCCTGACATAATTAGTTGTGTTTAAAGTCAGGCTGTAGCTGAGCCTTTCTTCTTACTTGAAAGAACAGGCAGCCATGAACTTACAGGAAATCATTCTGCCAGCAAACAGCTCAGCTGGCTGCAGACTAATCATCTTTTCTTTCCCCTTTGTTAAACACATTCTTGCTCTTGGAAACTGTTCAGTAGTTCATTAAACTAATAATCCCATTCAAATCCTGCCTCATAAATGGATTTGTCAGTGCTGGGCCTTTCAGGAGACGGTCATTTTAAATTGCCTTTACTTTAATGGGTTTAAGGCTAGATTAAATCATGGCTTTGGCTGTGATTTATTGCTCCACCGTACTGTTATTTGTAAAAGCATTGTTTGAATAACAGCCTTGTTTATTTTGCATTTATTTCATATTTTTTCCCTTTAGGAAAGGAGACTGGGATGGGAACAGAGCCCCAAACAAATGGTTCCAGCAGAAATCCATACAATCTTTCCTCCTGCACTGCTGAAGCCTCATTTACCAGTAAGGCATCTACAGCTTCCTAGTGCACAGCCAGTTCCCTCTAGCAAGGAGACCCTGTGTGGGTCAGAGGTACCAGACAGCAGTTTCTCACTGCAAGCTTTATAACATAAAAAGGCCCATGTGATGCAGCTAAGCTTTGCTGTAGTTTAATTCCAGTTCTACTTAAATTCCTTCCATGCAACCCTTGAACTGAAGCTATTTGAGATGAACCTTTGGATTGAAATTAATCTCTCTAACAAGAGACGCTTGCAGAGAGCAAATGCCAAAGCAAATCCATGACATGATGTCTAACTATTCCAACAAAACCACAGATAAACACGTTTAGAGGTTCAGGTGGGTGTTTAGAGGTGTGGTATCGGAATAGATGAGTCCACGAATCACATAAACCACCTGCGTGCCTACACTGTAAAATAACACCAGATTTCTATAAGCAGCCCTACCTTCCTTCACATTCAAAGCTGCACCAAGAAAACTCACTGCCCATTCATTCTTTTGCTGCCTCACTGCTAGTCTGTGAATGAAGCAAACCTTCAATGCTGGCTCCCCTGATTCCCCCCAAAGTGTACCAAATGCTGTTAAATTCCACAGCAGCAAAGAATCCCGATGCCTTAAGGCAGCAAAACCCAGGTCAGAGGAGATGCTGATCCAAAACTGCAACTCTCCAGCACTGTTTCAAGCCAGAGCATCAGGACAAGGGACTGGTGCTGTGTGGGGAATCTGGGTCTGTGGCTCTGCAGGAGCTGGGTTGCACTGGCTGCCAGACCCATCTACAGCATTGTGGCTGGTGACATCTGTGGCTGCTTTCTACGCCAAGCAGAACATTACTTAGACCATCACTCTTCAATAGACTTCTCATCTCAAGTGGTGCTGTCTGCCCGTAAAACAGAGATTTGGGAGAGAGATTGCTGAAGGGCTGGAAATCCTGATGCAGAGACTGGAACACAAAGCCTAGGAGACTGTCAGGGCTGCTTGACACAGAGCATGGGAAGCCCCTGGGGCTGAAGCTGCAGCCACGCTGACTTCTGCCAGCTTCCACTGTGATTCCCTCCCTCGAATCCCTGCTCTCCTAAGGGCCAACAAACAATGGCTCTTCAGCTGCCCCACACTGGGGTTGCACAGATCTCCTCAAACAGACCCTGCGCTTACCCCAGTGGGGTTTTTGTTTCTTTTCCTACAGCAATTGCTTCAGAGGGCATGAGGGAAGCAGAAGAGAACATGAAGGAGGCAGCAGTGTGGTCCTCAGCTCTCTGCAGGGCACTGGGAGCCAGACACTTCAGGTCCTGCCTCAAACTCACTGTGTGGCCACTAAGAACTTACACAACCAATAACCTGGGATTGCTTTACTTCAATGCTGCTCCATGTCTGAGGCTTTAAAGGGTTTTCAGGAGTAATTTCTAACTTGGGAAACTGGGCTTCAGTTTTAAAATGCACTTGGGAATTGGAGCTTTAGAGTCACCAAGAGTCAAAAGGATTTCAGCAGTAAATCAGTGTTTGAGAACAGGATTTGGTCAGCTAAGACACCGAGTGCTGTAAGACCACTGGACATCAGTGACCTCCCTCCTGGTCCCATAGGGAATGGAAAAAGTCATTTCCTTGCTCTGCCCTTCTTTTCTTTTCACAGGGCTGTCTGAGACACCATTACCCATGCACACAACTCCTTCCAGTGCTTTCTAACCCCACTACGAGCACAGTCATCAATCACACACAGCCCCAGGCGGCCAGGCTGAGCAAGAATCTCTGCATCTGGTACATTGCCATCCCATCCTTTCCAAGGAATAGCCTCATCCCACAGCCATAAAGGTTTGGGAGGTTTCACCTGATGGACTCAAAGAGAGGAACATGACACAAGCACTTACACACAGCTCACACCGGGGGAGGCACAGGGTGTCCCCACCCTGCGAGGGAGCTCTCGGTAGCCGGTTTTGAGAGGCGCAAACCCACAGGACCCCCTTGTCCACGGCTCCCGATTGCAGCGCAGCAGGAGGCAATGGACACCCACGTTTGGGTTGCAGGAGCAGATGCTGCCAGCCCTGCCCCGGCAGCTCAGTGTCCAGGCTCTGTGCTCTGTGCTCCGGCTCCAGCCCAAGCCCAGCACATTGGGGCTGTCTGGGCTCAGAGCACCGCGCTCCAGCCGGTCAAGAAGCAGAAGCATTCCCAGCAAGCGCCGGAGCAGTCTGGCAGGGGCCAGGCTTCGCGCGTGTCTCACGTTCTGCTCCCATTCTGCCCACTGACACAGGAACTTTCCAAGAACCACAGCCAGGCGGACTTAAAATAACCCAGAACCAGCGCTGGGGCCAGGAACCATCTTGAGAGCCTGCACACAGCGCTCAGCTCCAGCACGAGCCTTTCACTTGAGCCCTGTCTGCCTCCTCAAGGGGAAAACGCTGCTCCTGGGTCCAGCTCTGGCACCAGTTTGCCTGCAGGTGAGTCCGCAGCCACAGCCATGCTGGGCATCACGGGCCTGAGTGCGAGACCTTCCCATTTCAACAACCATGAGAAAGCACTTATCAGAGGTAATAACCTCTCACTCCAGCCCGGAGCACTGACTGGAGCAGAGAGCAGAGGGCAACTCCAGGGTCAAAGCCTGGGTTGACAGAATGCCCCCCAGCAATGGTGGAAAGCCCAGCCACAGCCACCACTGCCCCAGACAGGCAGGTTGTGGATGGTTCTCCATAGCCAGACCCTCACTTGAGCCCTGAGGTGCTGTGATCCCCAAAACAAAGCAGCAGAGCTCAGCACCCAGCTCTGCTCATATGGGAGTCAGCTTGCTTGTCCCCTGTGGCATGAGCTCTCCTCCTACCATAGGCCTGCAGAGCAGACTCCTTCCTGAGCTCAAGGAAAGCCAATTCTGTACACGTCTCCAGATTCTGCTTTGTAAAATAGAGAAGAACATTAAACTTACCCTCGTAAAGTGTCTTGGCCTCTTCTTCGCACTCTGTTTGCTGGCTGTCTTTCCTCATAGCCTGCAAATCTGTCTGTCTGCAAGTCCCCTTCATATTGACCCTGGGCTTGTTCCACATACAGAACTGCTGTACATCCCAGCATGAACCTGGCCAGCCATAATACCCCCATGATGGCACAGATTCCTCGATTCCCCCGGCCGCCCCGAATGCTTGTTCCAGCTGGAGGGTCCCTGCTGCCTTGGTAGAGGATGGGTTTTGGCAGCAGCCCCCAGGTGCCAAGGTGCCGTCCTGCTGCTCCCTTTCTAGAAGCAAAAACAGAGGAAAGAGAAAGACACGAGAGCTCTTAAGGGCCTTCATAGCCTCAAAATGATCAATCACCCCCAGCAGCCTCCCCCCAGAGTTAATACAGTGGGACCACGCAGTCCCCATCAAGTCTGGCTCCTTGTACCTGCAGCCAACACATTCACACCAATCTCTATCACAGCATTACTAAACCTTTCTTTCCCAAAGAGGAAACCCAGAGAAGATCTCCAAGTCTCATGGTTCTGCCCTTGCATCTATTCTCCTGCCTTTCTGATGGAGGAATGAAGAGTGCCAAAAGCACATCCATCCTTTGCCTGCCCATGGTGGTGGGTTATAGCACTGACCTCAGCATAGTGCCTTGGTTCAGAGGAGCAACAGCTATGAAGAAGCAAGAGGACTTCGAGAAAGAGCAGATCCTATTTATGGACCACCTTCCCTGGTCCCAGAGCTCTCTTTTACTGCATTGTACTCCAGACAGGCCATGGCATGGAGATCAGTCACTGGAATACCTGGTAACTGTGGCTGGCTGAGGGGAGGGATCTGCTTGCAAAGGGACATGTACACCAGGGAGGTGAAAGGATCATCATGGGCTGCAGCGGATGGGAGAGCATGAGCTGGGGCCAGCACATGAAGACACTGCACTGAGCTAAGCTTGGTTTCCATGAGGATGAAGGGACAGAGGAGGGTTGGGCATACTGGAGGGATGCAGAGCTGCTCAGCTGGGACAGGCACGAGAGGCCATGAGGAGGAGGAGGATGCAGGCTTCAAAGCCTCTGTGGAGGGGATGGGGTAGAGCAATAGGGGCAGGAAGGAAACTCCCAACACCTCTGGCTGCGCACACACCTTGGGGCAAGCACAGCATGGTCGAGATGGCCATGGCTGGGCAGGGACCAGACCCAGAGCTTGGCCTTCAATCACTCCAGGGCACATCCTCAGCCCCCAGAGCCCCTCTGCCCTGAGGGGAGCAAGGCCCCTTCCTGGGGGGAAAGGCTTGAGCCCCGCTCCCCCGAGGGCAATGACATGGCTTGGGGGAGTCCATGGGGACAAGGAGCCCACAGTGGTCCCTTTAGTTCAGTCCTTACAGCAGCCATGAGAGGCTCCGAGGGGGAAAGGGAAACAGCCCTGGGAAGGGGCACAGACCCTGGCACAACACAGACCCCCCCCCAAGTTGTCACACTCCTTGTGGCAAGGCAATAGCTTCATGCTGCAGGGCTGTATGGGCAGGCTCAGGGTGGGAGCCCGGAGAGGCTGTAAGGAAGCTGGTTAAAAAGGCTCTGTAAAAGCGATTACAGAGGAATGCACCCCACAAACTGGTCCCCTTCTTCCCCAAACCTCCCAGCTCTGCCTGTGCAAACGGGGCTGGGGAGCCCTTCCCTCCATCCTGCCTCCTCCGCAGCAGGAAGCATCTCTCACCTCGAGCTCCCCAAGAGTTTGTTCCTTCAGGGAGGAATCCTCACGGGTCCCCCCCCACACACAGAGTGGAAAAGCATCTGGTGCTCCTGTGGAGGCTCCGAGCCCGCTCCGGCGGGGAGGGACAGGGCCCCCGAGCCTCCCCTAACTGTCCCCCTTGCTTTCCCACTGCAGCGCTTTCCCGTTCCAGCCCGGCCCCACAGCAGGCAACAGGGAAAAAAAACCAGCCCAGAAAAGGCAGAAAATGCGCCCGAAACAGACAAAATAAATAAAGCAATTGTACGAATAGGAAAGATTTTAGAAGGAAACCCTCATTGCTCCGGGGGAATCGCGCTGCTCTCGAGGGCAGGCGTTTTTCAGGGTCTAAGGTTTCAATGAGAGAGAGTGGGAAGGGAAAAGGCAGGGCTGGGAGCAAAGGCACAGACAAAGAAACTGCCCTTCCTGCAGCCCTAAGAGCTCTGCTTGCTTCGCTACACGCGCCTGTCTGCTGAAGGCTGGGGTAGGAATATCCCCAGTGAGACAAAAGGGAGAGGTTCCCTCCGCTCCCGAGGTAGGGAACAGATGGGAAAAGGAGGTCATAAAAAGCAGCACAAAGTTGTGCGCTTCAGGACAGTCCCAGCCTTTGTGCTGAGGTTTCAACTGCAGAGAGTCCAGGCGCATCCATTTCCTCCCGGAGCAACGAGAAGCATGACAAATGATCGATATACACAGGCACGTACCCCGAGCGCGTTCACACAAGGCTTGCTAAGAGAGTATGGAAAAGCCATTTACACCATCAGAAGACAGCTTAAAAAAGAAGGCTCGGAAATGATTTTCAGCTCTGAGAAGTTCCCTCAAACACCCCCTGTAAGAAATAGCAAAGAGAATCAACCACTGCATCGGAGTTGAAACTGAGCTTGGAGGGAACCAGGAGAGAAGTTTCCAACCCATGCTTTTGAGTGTGCAAATGAACCCAATCCATTAAAATAACAATGTGCAAACCACAGTTAACACGCAATTAGGCAGACAAACAAATCAGGCAGATAAAGAGAAAGAAATCAGCTCTTAGCTATGCAGCTCCGGATTTAAGTCTGTTTAAATACCTTTACGTCCTGGAACTGGTGATGTGCCCAGAGCTCCTTTGTTTAGTGGAGATGTGGGCAGAAAAGAAGGGACTAAAACCCTCACTCTTGAAGGAGAGAAGAAAAGGTACAGCCTCATCCAAATTGGACAGGGGGAGGGCCTTGCGCCGGGGAAAGGGGTGCAGGAGGAGTGGGAGTAGCAGAGGACAACCCTACCGCATTCTTCAGCCAAAAGTCTTTCACTTCAAGGAGGGGCTGGGGGAGAGGTTGGGTTTAGCAGGAGCCGTCTGAATGCAGACGTGATTATCACCTAAGCATTCCTCCTCTGGGCCGCTTCATTAGGGAGCGCTGGCAGTTGCAGCTTGTCCCAAATTTCGGCTGGAGCTGCAGGAGGCAGGAGGGCATTAGTAACAGTGACTTCACATCAAAAGGGTTGGGGGAAAATAATTCATTTCCAATTTGGGACTTACATTCTTCTTCTTTCCTCCCCCCTCCTTTTTTTTTAGTGGTATGTTAAAAGTAGGGGAAAAAAAAAACCAACTGATTTCAAGTAAAAGGCACTTTTCTTGCTGATTATTTTCCTATAATTAGTACAACTATAATGAAACAATGAAGGAAAGATGGAGTGGAAGGATAAGTGACCCAGCTCAAGACCTTCACACTCAAAGGATACCTCGGCTCCAAAGGACAAAATCTCTGCAGTTAAAAAACACTTCCTCCCAATAACTACATTTAAAGGAAAAAGGAAAAGTATTCGGTGATAAAAAGTCTGAACTTTGTATCCTTATAAAAATACTTTATAAAAGTATTTGGTGATATAAAGAAAGAACTTTGTCTGAATGGCAGCTCCCAGTCTCATTCCGCTCTTTTTCTCCATGCAAAAATATCCTCCCTCTGCCTCTTGCTTTCGGAATCGTTACTGATGGCTCTGCTTTAAATACTATATAATAAAACGCACATGGCCTCCTCCTCCCTGAGCTCCCTCTGCTCTGGGCCACTGCACACCCACAGCCTTGCCAGAAGGCTCCTAAAAGCCCAAATGCAGCAGCTTTTCAGGTCAAAGAGGCTCAGAGAGGTCTCTGCACCAAACGGAACCCAAACGGGCTGTGCACAGCCCACCCGGGGATCCCAGGATGCCTCCTGGTTATCCCACCATCTGGCTTGCAGCTCGGTTACCTCTTTACACCCAGCAGATGAGGGTTCAAATGCAGCTATCGGCTCAGTTCCCAGAGGTGCAGAAATTCCAGGGCTAGCCCCAAGCTGACGGGGATCCTGTCATCTCTTCTGCCCCTTTGAAATGTCCTCGCTGCCTTTCTTTGTTCTTTGGGCTCTTCCTCATCAACCCCCTACAAGCTTTATAGAAGTCAGAATGATGCTCAGCCTAATTAGCAGCAAACTTGTGGGGACTGACAGGGAAAAGGCAGAGCCCATTTGCACAGGCAGCCAATAATGGAGCATTGCAAGGAATGCAGCTCTGTCAACACATCTGCAGAGCTCCACAAGATACAAAAACCAGTTCCATGGCCTGATCCTGCAGTACCCATTTCAGTTCAAGTAAGTGTGGACTTTACCTGGTTGACAATGGCAGGACTGGGAGCAGAGGAGCAGCAAGAGCACAACCACAAGCTCCCTTTTCCTCCCTCTCAAGGTGACAACTGCTGGGCCAAGCAGTTGGCATTGCAGTCCAGTCTAGCTTAATCCTTGCTAACACCTACACTGTGATCATCACGTTTATGTGGGCACCACATAGGCAAAAGCATTCAGACACCTGAAAATGCACACAGGGTCTCTTGGATTTGCAGAAGCTCCCAGAAATCTGTGACTTTTGGCCACCAAATACTGTAGAACCCAGTCCAAAGCAGGTGATGTTACACACAGGGATATTACACAAAGGGACAAGTTGCATGGCTTCTTCTGCAGGTACTAAATCAATCCCAGAGCTTCACTTTTGGAAAGCATTTGCAATGCCAGTTAGATTTCATTTGGGTCTAGGGTATCGGGGCTAGTGAAAAAACGCTCTTTGTGCTTAGAATAGATGCTATCCCATGTCTCACCTCTGGCATGATCCTGCTCAGCCCACTTCCTCTGTTAATTCGCATGTAAGTGATCTCAGAGAACACATTTAAGGAACATTTCCTGGGTACATTTGCTCTCCTCTCTCTCTGAGGGCTGCAGGGGGGCACAGCCCTACAAGTGACTGGCACATAAGTGAAACATGCCTCCCCCCTTACCCTGCCTTCCACTACAGAGGGCTAAGAAGGGTTTTAAACCTCTGTGAACACGATGCTGTTCGCTCCCTCCCTGATTTTCTAGGGCAGGGCTTTGCAGCGCAGCTGCATGTCATTAGGGCATAGCAAGCCCCAGGATTCAGGCAGCCCAGCAAGATCTCATTCAAAGTCTCATTCAAGCCTCCAACCGGTTCTTTATTTCCCTGCCATCGAATGCTTGTTGCCGGCCACAGGGAGTTACAAACACTTGTATGTGTTTGTCTAGCTCCCCATCTGTTTTCCCCCTCGGTGGCTGGGTGGTTTGGCATTGCTTTTGTGCATGATAACACTCATCCCAACCATTCCTGTGTCTACCTGGTCCCAAGCAGCATGGAGAAGGCAAAGTGAACACCTAAAGCATCTTACCTACCTCTGCTGTGTGCATCCAGTATAGCTCCTTAGCTCGAGCTAGGGATAGAAGAGAAGCTGGAAGGAAAGCCTTCTTTCTTTCTTTCTTTCTAGGAATAGTGGGGTGCACATCAGCCCCCTGAGAAACAAGAAGCAGTGGGACACATACTGCTTCACAGCCCCACAAGCTAAGAGCCCTGAAGCATAAGGAGCAGTAGGATGGTTAAATACCCTCCCAGCCAGCCTACATGCAATTACCCTCAATAAAAAGCAGCTGTCCTGCTGCAGGCTTTAGGAGTCAAATGGAGAATCCCTGTCTTAGTATTCCCTGCAAGAAAGAAGTTATTTCCTTCCAACTCCCTCTCAATCACACAACAGATCTCTCTGTAGCAACAATTGCTCCAGGAGAGCAACACCACCCGCTCTTGTAGCTACGGCTGCCACTGATAAATGTAAGTTAGAGAAATTGGCCCCTGCAGCTTCCAAATCGTACCCAAAGAGAACTCCAAGAGCCCAAACCGTTTGGAAAGCACATGAGGTGCTGTACATTGAATAGCACACTAACAAACCCCGCTTCCCAGCCTCTGCAGATGGGCACGTGCGTTTTCATGCCAACCGCGGTGTTTGAGATCCCCGCCTGCAAAGCAGGAGAGCGCCTTGTCTTAGTTCACAGGGCTGCCATGAAGATAAACTGCTGGTGAAGGGGTTCAGTTTTAATATGGGAAGCACAGTGGGGGGAAATGCTCATAGTTAATTATTGCTGTTAATGATGTGCTTAGAATAGAGCTGTACAAGGAACTGATTCTTTTGCTGCGCTGGACATGATGAAAAATGAAGAGCAAGGAAGAGTCATTCTGGGGTGGTTTGATGAGCATTTTAGCTTGACATGAACATATAATTTGACTTTAAACAATGAGCTTGTGGGTGTGGAGGGGGCTTTAATTCATCTTAAATGCTGATCTTTGTGCAAGCTCCTGAAATGTGGCTCTGAGAGGAAAAAGGACAGCACATCATTTTACCTTTAGTGAAAGGCAAGATTCGCCCGTCATTGATTTTCTGTCAAAAGCATTTGAGAAAGTGGGTAGAGATTTAGAAGTTTTTCACAGGATGAGGCCAGGAATTCCTGCCATGTCTCCTGTGTGCCTGGACTGAGCAGTGGGAACAAATAATGGATCTGATCATTCGACTAGGTAGAGAAAAAGATGCCATCACTTCACTTTGATGCACTTGCATGTGGCAGTCCTATAGGAAAATAGTCTGCAATCCTCATTCATTAACATCATTATAATGGTGCAAATGCACAGGGAGAGTGTTTGAAGCTGCTTAGGAAGCTAACTTCAACATTTGCTTCTCAATGCTTGGCTTTTCTGGGCTCTGTATGGTATCAGGACATTATGGATATACCGAGATGGGAATCTGGTGTTTCAGTTCTGTTACACGTTATTACACCTCTCTCTTGTATTTCTGCACTGAAGTGCAGCAGACGATGTCTTCAGTCCTACCAGTGACTGACAAAACCCTCGAGCAAAGCTGAGTGAAAGTAGCTTCAACTTTTCCATGTCTGACTCCATTGAGTGTAATGTAAAAAATGCACTTGCTAAAATTAGCCCATGTTGCTTCTTGCAAGATGACACAATTGGGCTCAGGACAGCAACAGCTCTTAATCGTGATGTCATGTAAAGAAAAGAAATCAAGATCAGGCTCTTGTGCGGAGAACTGAGGTCAGGGAATGTGGGATTTTGCTGCTGCTCCAAGCTCCCTGCAAGGCTGTGTCCTGGCAAGCCCAGGGCTGCTCGCTCTAGCTTTGAAACAGAGAAATTAAGAGATCTGATTTAAAGGGAATGGTGTGAATGGCCTGAGGAGGATACACAGCATGGTTCATCTGAGAGCCCTATGGCGCTGGGGCAAGGGATGCTGCCAGAGGGCAGAGATGTGATCATGGGGACCAGCTACGTGGATGATGGTGATGGAGAAGGATCCCAGGAAGCCAGATAGCTGTGGGTATGGGCTCCTCCTTGGAAGGTTGCTCCTGGATTGCTCCCAGATGGAGCTGTGACCCCTGGATTGCTCCCATAGGCCCAGCACAACCTGCAGATCATCCCTTCATCCTGCAGCCACTCCAGCATGTGGCCAGAGTCCTGTCCCCAGGGTGCTTTTGATGATGTTCCCGGGTGTTCTACAGCATCTCCTGGGTTTTGTGCAATGGAAACAGAGCCCAAGAGACAAGTCCCATCTTCCTTCAGGGACGATCACCCCATCTCTCTGTACTTCAGCTTCTGCCCCCCTACAATGGGGAACTGATGCTCTCTTTTGAAATGTTTCTGCAGTGAATAGGAGTCAAAAACAGATGCAGGGAATTTCCAGAAACTTCTCATCAGATTTCATAACATATCTGAGATCAAAAGTGGAACCTGTCAGCGCCACAGGAAGCATTTAAAGGCAGTCACGAACAAACTCAGACAAAGGTTTCCTCAGGGAAATGCTTCCACATTAACTGTTTCACTTGCTTTCCAGTTTCGCACACAGCCTAGCATGATCAACAGGGTTTTAACACCAAACCAGGCTGGTTTAGCATCTTCTCTGACATCCTAAATACCACAGCCAGGATCAGTTTTGCTGCCTCACCTTTTACCAGTCCGATCACATTTGTTTCATAGGATCACAGAGTCACAGAGTGGTTTGGGTTGGAAGGGACCTTAAAGCTCATCCAGCTCCAAGCCCTGCCACCGGCAGGGACCCCTTCCACTGGAGCAGCTTGCTCCAAGCCCCTGTGTCCAACCTGGCCTTGAGCACTGCCAGGGATGGGGCAGCCACAGCTCCACCAGAATTCAGTGTGGATTAACCTGGATGAGAGTCCCAGGTCACCCACCCTGAGACCTCAGGCTTCAGGCAGGGCCGTTCACACAGGACCAGCTCAGATCCAGATCCCGATGCTTTTGCCTCTGGAAGATCTGGGTTGACCTCAGAGTGGAGGGCAAGGAGCCAATGGAGATGATCAGCTCCTCACCGCCTCCTGCCATTCCCAGAAACATTCCCTCACTTCGCACACACGTGTGAGGCCTTATGCTCCTGTGGGAACTGGGATGCGTACGGAACCAGGCAGACCCATCCGCATCGCCGGAGCCAACAGCAGGGATGGAACCCGAGGTACCCCTCCTGATAAGCTGCTATCAGCGTCCCGCTCAGGCCGGGGCTCCCGCCTGTGTGTGAGCATTGCAGCCCTAGAGCCTGCGACCGCAGTTGCAACATTCCTTTTGTTTTCTAGGAATTCGACTCCACCAAGGAGGGAAACCACAGGGAAATTGTTTCAGTGTGCGCTGTGGATGGGGAGCGCAGGGATGGGGCCGAGGCATGATGTATCACCCCAGCCCCACGGCCAAGATGGTTAAAAAAACACAGGTTTATTTCAACCTAAGGAAAGGAACTTTTTCCCTTCTCTTTAGCTTGGCAGGCAGCAGCGGGCGGGCTGAGCCCAGGCAAGTGCAGATCAAAGCCAGGCCAGTCTGCTGCGAAAACTCAAGCCCTGGACATTTATTAAGCTTTGATTCATAAAAAGCCGCGCAGTGAGTGCAGTGGGATTGCACTGTGGAACTTCTGACGGGGGAGCTGCCTTCCTTAGGATGAAAATTGCCTCTTTCTCCCGCCAGCAGTAAGGTGATCCCTCCGTTTCCTGTGAAATTCCAACCAG